GTGCCCGGGAAGGACAGGTACAGCTGGAGTGCTTGCTGGAGCAGTGTAGCCTAAAGAGCGGCCCGGGGTAGTGAGAGGCTCTGATTCAAAGAAATAAGGTAAACAGTAATACAGGAAGACGTTTGTCTATGGCTCCATGGGTGCACATATGCACACACACACACACACACTTCAAAGAAAAAAGGTAAACAGTAATAAAGGAAGATGTTTGTCTATGGCGCCATGGGTGCACGTATGCACACACACAGAGACACAGACACACACACATACACAGACACACACAGACACACACACACACAGGCACACACACACAGACACAGAGACACAGACACAGACACACACACAGACACAGAGACACAGACACAGACACACAGACACACACATACATACACAGACATACAGACATACATACCGACATACATACAGACACACAGACATACAGACACACAGACACAGTTCAAGGCCAACCTTGGCTACACAGTGAGTTTTGAAAAAAGAAAAAAAAAAAAAAAGACACGACCTTGTCAGAGCGTCTGGCGCATCTGAGGGCCTCGAGGCTCTGGCTGTCTAGACCACGTGTGGTTTGTGGCAGCAGTGTGAGCTGCCGGCTTGGTGGTCATCCTGGGAGAGAGCCACGTACATCTCTGGCCTTGGTGGTCATCCTGGGAGAGAGCCATGTACATCTCTGGCCTTGGTGGTCATCCTGGGAGAGACCCACGTACATCTCTGGCCTTGGTGGTCATCCTGGGAGAGAGCCACGTACATCTCTGGCCTTGATGGTCTTCCTGGGAGAGAGCCACGTACATCTCTGGCCTTGGTGGTCTTCCTGGGAGAGAGCCACGTACATCTCTGGCCTTGGTGGTCTTCCTGGGAGAGAGCCACGTACGTCTCTGGCCTTGCTGTGGGTGGCTGGGCTGTGGCCACCAGCCGGGCCTGAGTAAGAAGCGTTTCATGGGGAGTAGGGTAGGGACCTGGATGATGCAGAGAAGCCGCCCCGACTCGGAAGGAACGGCTGAGGTACATGTGCCCCTGCAGAGGGGCTGACGAGGCGACTGGCCCCGGGAAAGGCCTTTGCTGCTTTCAGGTGCGTGCATGACTCCTGCGCACAGTCAAGCCTCTCATCTCTGACAACTGCCATCCCCAGTCTCCGGAGAAAGGCGACGTTCCCTTTTATGCAATTTGCATGAGATGAGATTTTAAATCGTAATGCGTTTTAAAATACAGTTGGCAGACGACTTAATGTGTGTTTCTCAGCGGAGTCTGAGCTTGAAATTCCCACCCTGGCAGTTTCCGGTGATCTTAAGGTCGACAGTGCCTCAGACGGATGCTTTCTGTGCAGCTCTGAGGAAGAGCGCTGTGCAGCAGCAGCCTGTCCCTCCTGCCGCGAGACCAGGGAGGAATGACTTTGGATAGAAGAGACTCCATTACATTCAAGTGTAAATGGACTGTCAGGATGCACAGCCTTCCAGAAAGGCAAATGACTACTCATGTGTGTGTGTGTGTGTGTGTGCATGTGTGTGTGTGCACACATGTGTGTGTGTCTGTGAGTTTGAGCATATGTGTGCATGTGTGTGTGCGCATGTGTGTGTGCGTGTGTGTGTTCATAAGTACATATGTGCAGGAGCCATTAATATTTTTTTTAAGCAGGGTCTCTCCTCAGCAGCTTGCCATGTAGGCTAGGCTGATTACAAGTGTATATTACTGTGCCTGACTTTTATGTGGGTTCTGGACCATACATGGGTCCTCCTGTTTATTGGACAAGACTTTTACCCACCTAGCCATCTCCCCAGCCCCGACACCCCTCCCTCTTTCCTTTTTTAGGTTAGAGTGAATTGACAGAGGAGTTGGGTGAGGACCCTTCTCCTGTATGCACCCGTGCAGTTAAGGAATCTGCATTTCTGTGGCTCCACGCGTGGAGGCACATCCATCAGAAGGAGCGCTACAGGAGACGCTCTGTCCCTCCTGGCAGCAGTGGCACAGACGTATTCCTCAGAAAAGCAGTTTTAGGGAAGGTTTAGTTAGGTTCCTGGGAGGTAGGTGGGTTGTTCTCAGGAAGCCTGGGTGGACTGCATGCTTTCGGTTCATCACAGGTGTCTGTGTTGTTTTTTGGTTCATCACAGGTGTCTGTGCTGTTTTGAACTGCCTGTGGTTTGGGGACACCCAGGAGGCCTCCACGTGGGCCTTTTGCTGAGAGGCACACTGAATTTATACCATTGCCCACCTAGTGTCTCTGTTCACCAGGTTGGACCTGTACGCCAGCATGGTCCTGGCACCCAGATGCAGGCTGGGTTTCTGGGGACCTTGGCTGCAGGCCGTGTGCTCAGCACCTGTTCAAAGGTGGACAGATTCGGCTGTGTGAGAATTGTTATCCGCCAGCATAGCTCCTGAGGCTGTTAGCACTTTCACCCAGACGGCTTGCTTCTGTGTCACAGTGAGGTGACCCCACAGTGAGGTGACCCCTCAGCGAGGTGACCCCAAGTTGGTGACCCCACAGCTTCGTCACCGTGGTAGAGGAGTTTTCTGATGGCCTCACCCACACACTGATTATAATTTAAATGTCTGAAATGCTGCAAAATTCCAGTGGCTTTTGACCAGAGTCTGGAGTACTCAGGTGGTATATGGTCTGGGGATGGATATTCAGAACCCCAAGGTCTGAAGCGCTTGGATCAGATAATGGATGCTCAGGCTATCCACCCTCTGTGTGTCTGCCCATAGACAATGGAGACACCTACCTGACATTCGATGTAGGCTCTGCTGTGACACCACCCTTGTTCTGGGGATTCTTGAGGAAAGAAGGCGAATCCACACCCAGAGGCTGTGTAGGTGCTAGTGACAGCTGCTAACACTCTAAATGTGTGGGTGCTGGACTTAGTATTCACACTTCAAATGTGGGGGTGCTGGACTTAGTACTCACACTTTAAATGTGTGGGTGCTGGGCTTAGTATTCACACTTCAAATGTGGGGGTGCTGGACTTAGTATTCACACTTCAAATGTGGGGGTGCTGGATTTAGTACTCACACTTCAAATGTGGGGGTGCTGGATTTAGTACTCGCATCTCACCACTACCATCTTAATTTTCTCTTTATTTTGAGGAGACCAAGACCCAGGGGGTTGAGTAACTTCTCAGGATCATGCAGCTGTGTGGCTGCTGCTAGAATCCAGTCTATTACTGCTAAGTGAGACACTTGTCTCCTCGAGTATTTACTCTTTTTTTTAAGGTAGCCTGACAGACATCGTTAATTCTTTCACATCACTCCCACTCCATCCCTGGCTGCCCTCTCCTGTATCTAGTGTTGCCTCAGCCTAATAGCTCAGGCATGAGTATGGTGGTAAGTGGGTGGCCAGGACCCAAAGAGAGGCAATTTCAAGGGGCAGAGCACCTGAAATCCTGGCCCAGCCTGGGCTGTCTCAGGTCAGGGCTGGGGTAGAAGGACGCAGACTTTGGCATTGTTCTTGGCTGTAGGTACCATGTTGGCACACCTGTTCTTGTTCTGGGGCAGTTTCCCAACTGGAGTGTTACTTTCTTACCCAGGAAAACCGCGTGTCCTTAAGGCAAACAAACTCCCGTGCCCTGTCAGTAGAAACGGCAATGATAATTTGTGCAAACCTTACCGGAAACACCACAGGAGAGACGTTCTGCGTGGCTTGGGACCGAGCACCGTCTAACGCCCCCTTCTCTGTCGTCTCCTCTTCAGATGCAGCACCCAGAGCTCAGCTCTCCGAAGCACAGCCTTTGCCTGCTAGCCAAGGGCCTGGGCCGCCTGCTCTGCTGGTGGTGGCTGGCTGAACTGATGGTCCACCTCATGTACATGCATGCCCTCTACAGCAGCATTCCCCTCCTGGAGAGCGTTTCCTGCTGGACCTTAGGTAATTGTGGGAACGGCCATCAGCAGGACCAGAAAGAGCACTTAGCTTTGGAGAGACGGTGTCCTGTGGGTGTTTGGGTTGCCGTGACCCAGAGCCAACATGCTTTATTTTTTAATCTTATTCCTCTTGTGACCGAGGTTTTACATGTGTGGGCTGCTTGGTGTAATTGATGGAGGGAGGGCTGTGCTGTGTGAACTGAGAATCAAGGATAAGTGACCTCCTCCTTGGGCTGGAAACGACCTATGGCTGGACCTACGTCCTACCCAGGGCAGCATTGCACACAGCGGGAGAGGGTGGAGTTGCTGGCTGGCGTGGGAGGCTGTTCTGGGCGCTGGTGCTCTGAGACCACGTCAGGCCGCTTTCTTCCCTTTTCCTGTGAGTTTCAGAGTTGTGTAGGTTTAGGTTTGAATCCCAGCTCACCCAGCCGATGGTGGGCAGCCTTGGGTGGTGCTTACGCCTGTCTGCACACCTTCTTCTCAAAAACAAGGCTTGCCCTTGCAGAGCTACTTTGAGGAGTCAGTGAAATGGTAGCCTTACGATGCGTCCTGTAGATATGATAGATGGTGTGTGTGTGTGTGTGTGTGTGTGTGTGTGTGTGTAATGTGCACATGTCCTATAGATACAGTAGATGGTGTGTGTGTGTGTTATAGTGTGCACATGTCCTGTAGATACAGTAGATGGTGTGTGTGTGTACAGTGTGCACATGTCCTGTAGATACAGTAGATGGTGTGTGTGTGTGTATGCAGTGTGTACATGTCCTGTAGATACAGTAGATAGTGTGTATATGTGTGTGTGTGTGCAGTGGACACATGTCCTGTAGATACAGTAGATGGTGTATATGTGTGTGTGTGTGTGTGTGCAGTGTGCACATGTCCTGTAGATACAGTAGATGGTGTGTATGTGTGTGTGTGTGCAGTGTGCACATGTCATGTAGATACAGTAGATGGTGTGTGTGTGTGTGTGTGTGTGCATGCAGTGTGCATATGTGCATATTTCTCTTTTGGTCTCTTTGGCTTCTTTGCATCTTTCTCTATCCTGCAGCAAGCTGGGATGGAGGTCTTCTTTCCCCAGGACACGGTCTCCAGTTACAGGATTTGTCTGTGAGAAACCATTGTCCATTATTCCTCTGCCCTTAACAACAGAGGCCATACATGTTCTGACCTGATCTCCATCTTCCTTCTCATTTGTCCTGCTTGGTTGCTTTGAGGAACTCCTGCATTGGTCCGCTGTCTGACTTCTAGCCCGTTGGAGTATGTGTGCGCGCGTGTGCATGTGTGTGTGTATGTGTGTGCGCATGTGTGCATGTGTCTTTGTGTGCCTGTGTATGTGTGTGTGTGTGTGTGTGTGTGTGATACTCCAGGCAGATTAAGCTTCTGAAGCCAAGTGTATAAGCCTGCCTCCTTATATGGTGGGTGATTTATAGATTTTTCGGAATCTCGATTGTCCTTGTTGTCACATGTGCTTAGTCAGAATGTGACAGGCGCCTCCCAGGACCCAGGCAATGCTGAGTTGTTTTAATAATAGTCTTTTCTTTCTGAGTAGATTTAAAACCCCAAATGACCTTTGTGCAGATCCTAACAGCATTTTCTTGGGCATGGGGGATTCTCAAGAACGGTTTTTATCAACATGTCCCTGTTGCACAAATCCACGAAGCACAGTGTGATATTTCAGCACATGCTCATGGTGTACCAGTGAAGCCAGGGTGTGTCTCCATGTTCCAGGCTCCCCTTGCCTACATATGTTTGTAGCTGGAGGTCACTAATACTGTTAAGTTTTAATGATAGAGACAGACAGGCTAGGACTGACGGTCTGCAGAGGTGCAGCCCTGTGCTGAGCCTTTGTCAGCTAAGGTATGAAAAGTGGAAAAACACCTCAAAATGGGGCTTAACTAGCAAAGACAAGTCATCACATGTGCCAGTCACACCTGGGAGCAGCAGGGGGAGGAGTAGACACGGTGACACTCTGGTCACTGAGAGTCTGGTCAGCCAGTGAGTCTCCTTCCCTGGCTCAAGAATTGACTAGAATTTCAGGAGTGCTTTGTGGCCGAACCCATTGACTTCTCCTAGCTTGTGTGTGTGTGTGTGTGTGTGTGTGTACACGTGCGTACACACACGCATGTGTGTTTATCATTCTCTTTCATGGTACTTGGACCACAGTTAAGTCCCAGCAATTGTATATTTTAAAATGTCATCTGAGCAGATTCACTCTGTAGTGCTCTGGGATGCGACCTTTTGGCTTGGCGATGTTTCCGAGACACATCCATGCTGATACACTGTAGCAGCTACTTTTCTGTGGCTGTGATAAAACACTGTGACCCAAGGCAGCTCATAGACAAAAGAGTTTATTTTGGCTTATGGTTCCTGAGGGATCCTTCGTATTAATCGCTGCCATGCCTCCTTAATACGAAGGATCCCTCAGGAACCATAAGCCAAAAGGCAGCGATTGATAGGGACGGAGGAAGGAACAGGCAACCAAGGACTCAGATCTTGACTGTAAGTACAAAGCAGAGAGGGTGAACAGGAAGGGGGCGTGGCTATACACTCTTAGAGCCCACCCCCAGTGACATACTTCCTCCAGCAAGTATGCATCTCCTAAACTTCCCCAAACAGCATCACCAATGAGGACCAGGTGTTCAAATTTGAGACATGTTATGGTACATCACCTGTTTTTGTGGTGGACATCTTTCCAGTGAGTCCAGATATCATGTGTGTCTTTTCCACAGGATGGAGGGCCTTTGAGTTTTCCCAGGCTTTGCCTGCCATATTTGCATTTCTGAGTCTCCTGGAACTCACATGCATGAGTCTCCCTGTAGGGCAGTGCTGTTGAACTCTGGCACTTGACCCACAATAAGGAAAGCACTTTGCATCACAGCTCTCTCTCTGTCTCTCTGTCTCTCTCTCATGTGTGTATGTGTGTGTGTATGTGTAGGTAGTGAACTCTCACAAGGCAATAATCTATTCCACCGATAATGTGTTTTGATGTTCTGTTTCACACTATTAGATGTTGGCCAGGAACCAGCCAGCTGGCCGCGTCCTTCCAGCGTGTGTGAGACCCTGCTCTCATGCATGTGCCTAGACAGGGAATGGCTGGCTCTTGTGCAGTGTGCATGCTCAGACTTTCACACTTATACCAGATCAGTCTTCTGGCTGGCCAAGATACTTTTTGCTCCCCTTGTGTCTCATTGACACTGATTTTGGATTTTAGTTTTGAAAGTCTGATGAATGTAAATTATACTTGTGGCTTCTATCAAAATGCCTAGAGCCAAATGACTGGGCACCAAAACCTCTGAAACTATGTGCCGAATAAATCTTCCCTCCCTAAGATCTCCTGAAGTCATTCTGTTCACAATGTGCAAAGTCAAACAATGTCCTCCCCACCCACTTAAGGTCAAGTTGTGTTACAGTCACATCCCTGTGGTTCAGTGTCTTGTCTGCCCTGTGACCATATGTCCACGTGAAAATCATGACAACTTTGCCTTGGAATGAAGTGCCACTGTTGTGCCTTTAAAAAAACAAACAAACAAACCAAAAAACCATGATCTCTCTGTAGCCTTGTGTAGCTAGAGTTTTCCTGCCTTGCCCACAGTCAGGACAAATCTTTGTCACCCAGCAGTCCCACAGCCGCTCAGACCCGACCAAGTAAACACAGAGACTTATATTGCTTACAAACTGTATGGCCGTGGCAGGCTTCTTGTTAACTGTTCTAATATCTTAAATTAACCCATTTCTATAAATCTATACCTTGCCCCGTGGCTCATGGCTTACTGGCATCTTTACATGCTGCTTGTCCTGGCAGTGGCTGGCAGTGTCTCCTTCTGCCTTCCTGTTCTTTCTTTTCTCCTCTCTGTTAGTCCTGCCTATACTTCATGCCTAGCCACTGGCCAATCAGTGTTTTATTTATTGACCAATCAGAGCAATTTAACATACAGACCATCCCACAGCAGCCTTGGTTGACTTGGAACTTGCTTATGTAGACCAGGCAGGCCTGGAACTCACAGCTATTCATCTGCTTCTACTTCCTGAGTACTGGTACTGAAGGTGTGTACCACCACACTTGACATGTTATATCATTATTACTTAAGTAGTTTGGTCTTTACATTGGAATGAAGAATCTTACTGTCCCCCAGGCATCTGTGGCCCAGAGAATGACCTCATCAGCACACTTGGGAGTGCCTCTTCTCCCCACACTGATCCATTTCTTAGGGTTGTGGTGGAATGTCTTAGGGCCCTCTTGGAGACACACACAGCACATCACACTTTCACACCTGGTAAACCCACCAGCATTCTTACTGCCTGGAATCATTCTATTACTCAACTATGATTTCCCCAAGAACATCAGACAATATGGCACACACACCTGGGTGGCCGTGATGTTGGTGTTTCCAAACACTCCCAAGACAGGCAATACTCCCAGCTCCCACCACTACTATATGACGTCTTGAATTACTGATATGTGCACACTTGTATTGATAGCCAAAGTTAGATTCTGTAGTGTTCTTTTCTGCATGATTTCATTTTTATTTATAGCTGAATAGTATTCTATTGTGTATATGTACCACATCTTCATTATCCACTCACCTGTTTAAGGGCATTTATGTTGTTTCCATTTTCTGGCTATTGTGACTAGGGCAGCTGTGGACATTTTAAAGCAAGTATCTGTGGGGTATGATGTTGAGTCCCTTAGGCATATGCCAAGGAGTGATATAGTTGGGTGATAGGGTAGACTTATTTTCGGTTTTTAAGGATTCTCCATACTGATTTCCAGAGTGGCTGTACTAATTTGTACATCCTCCAACTGCAAAGCTTTAAGATATAAGCCCTCCCCACCTTAATGCTGGGAAAGCTGAGAGTTTTCACACCCCCTTCTCTCTGTCTTGAGTCTCCCCGCTCCTTGTCTCAAACCTCACTTTGCTCTGGGTACAGATTCTGCATCTGGAGGGCATTGCAGTTAGGTGATTTTCCTACCCATGACTGGTGGAAAGAACAGTCTGGGCCAGAGCC